GGCCTAGAGAGCCGTCGGGTCTCTTGTAAATATCTATGTCTAGGAAGGGGAGGTGGCCTTCACTTTCGGTTTCCATGGTGAACTGAATGCATGGGTTGATACTGTTTAAGTGGTTCAGGAAACCCTTCAGGTTGTCAGGTCCGTGGGGCCAGATGACGAAGGTGTCGTCCACATATCGAAACCAGCAACGGGGCTTGAGTGGGGCCAAATCCAGCGCTCTCTCCTCGAAGTATTTCATGTAGAAGTTGGCGATGACTGGAGATAGTGGAGAGCCCATGGCTACACCGTCAGTCTGTTCGTAGAACTGGCCATTGAAGCTGAAGTAGGATGTGGTTAGGACATGGCGAAACAGTCTCAAAACATCTTCGGCGAAGTTTCCTTCTAGTAGATCCATAGTGTCCTTGATAGGCACTTTGGTGAAAAGCGATACCACATCGAAGCTAGCTTCGAGGGTGCCAGATCAGGGCTATAGGAGGGGTGTGGGAGAACTTCCCACCCCATCTTTGCAATTGCTTCCAATGTGAGGCGAGCAGCATGGGGGCGAGCATTGTCATGCAGGATGATGATGCATCATCGCGGACGTTTATCGCACAATGCACGACAGAGCTTATGCTGCGTCTGGACATAATGAGCAGCATTGATGGTTTGCCCAGGTTCCAGGAATTCGGCCAGAATAAACCCCTCTGCATCCCAGAAGACTGTGCCCATCACCTTCGCAGCTGATGGCACTGTCTTTGCCTTCTTTTTTATGGAGAATGCAAATGGTGCCATTCCATATGCTGCCATTTCGTTTCAAGTTCAAAATGGTGAAACCAGCTTTCATCACCTGTCACTATACAGAGTAAAAAATCATCGCCTTCGTCTTGATATCTCTACAGCAGTTCTGAGGTGGTGGCTTTTCGCTGACCTTTGTGGTCTTTGGTCAATAACCGCGGGACCCAACAAGCACAAACTTTCCTATAGCCCAAGCTTTCAATCATCTCATGTACTTCACTGTGTCCTATTCCAAGTTTTTGGGCTATTGTGTCCACAGTCACACACCTGTCATCTTGAATGATCTCATCCACTCTTTCCTTGTTGCGTTCAGTTGAGGCTGTTCGAGGATGACCGCTCTGAGGCTCATCTTCGATGCTGGTGTTCCCATCTTTAAAATGTTTCACTCATATTCGAACACTGCTCACACCCATGCATATATAAGCACACTGAAGTCTCTGGTGAATTTCTGCAACAGGGATTTCCTCTTTCACAAGAAACTTGATGACAGCATTCTGGCAAAACGACATACGGTTGTCGGCCATTTTGTTAGGAGTGATACTGGTCACGTGATGCCAGCTATTGACATCACAAGACACTCAAGGTTAACACAACAGCTGGTTCCACCTAACACCATACTCTCTTTCATCTGCTGTTCCCAGGTTGCATGCAATAAAAAGTTGCTCATGACTTTCGGTACGACCTACGTATATCATGAAGTTTCCCGAAATGAATGTGTATGGTATGTGCTGTTTCAACCACGAATGCTACTTTCTTAGCTCATGCTATCCTACACTGATTAATTACCCAAACAGTACTGAGTGAATAGCAGAAATCAAGGGTATCTTACTGGGTGACTTTATGCATTTTCCAGGCAGTTTTAGCTCCCTGTATGCTGTACCACTTATAAATTAACTTTCTTGTTTACTTCCAAACTCATTTACTAATCAAATCACTAAATGTAACAGGGTCCTCTTGAACAACAGATAATTGTTCAGACGGTCAAGATATTCCATGTCCTTACGTGCCCTTATGGAATTTTCACAAAGGCATTCGACTGGATCATGTCCTAAGCCAGACCAATGTAGTCTACAACTTCACACTACTTCCTTTAAGTTTAATATTATTTTCACAATTGTTCCTCCATCTCCAAGTGATCTCTTTCTTAAAATTCTTAGACCAAAATGTTGTATGTCTTTGATTTCTCTCATGCTTGCTACTATCACCCCTCCTCCCACCCTAATAATATAATTATATATATATATATATATATATATAT